GCTCTGTAATTAAATACCACTGAGGAAATCCACTTCTCCAAGAGATCACCTTATTCGTATCCAAAAGGGTTATGCCAGACACTCGGAAGAAATAACAAAAACTTCATAGTGCAGTATTCTTAAAAACAGCTTCATTTATTATGCACTCATTGCACTTAACTCAAAAGGTGTCCCAGCCGACACCAGCGTTAACAGCATATAGGAAACCAATAGAACGAACCATCCGCTCCGTGAGGACATCGATGATGAAACGCGTAGGGCGGGGCTTGATTGATGTGACGTCATTAAGTTTTCCCAGCGATCTACTGCGCATGTGCCGAGTGGCTGGGTTCGTTCTATTGTGTTTCCTATATGCTGTTAACGCTGGTGTCGGCTGGGACACCTTTTGAGTTAAGTGCAATGAGTGATATAGCTCTGGTGGTGAGTTTATTTAGTGCTTTTGGTGGTGGATTGTCACATTTTTGTGCACTTTTCTTTTTGACTTGTATTACACATCTTTAATTTGGACTTTTTTTGGACACTTTTATATATATATATAATTTTTTTCAATTATGTATTTATATTCATTACTCACATTGATAAAATTTTTATTTTTATGTTCACAGGTATAATTGATTTTTGCAATATTTTTTTATTTACTAGCGCAAAATATTTTTGTGTTGTAATTGAATGACCAAAACTACTTTTCCAAATCAAAGTTGTGTCGTGTCCTCTCATGCACTCACACTCGAGTTTTGAATGGCAGAAAGCAGGATCCAACAGCTGCCATAGCCAAGAGCTCTGTACAACAAGTACCTAGGATCAGAAGGTTCCCCAAGTGCACTGAAAACAATATAACTCACTTATGACCTCTAAGTTGTAGGAATTCAGATCTCTTTGCTGTTTTGAGAATCCCTCAATTCAGAAATCCAGATAGTCATGGTTACTAAATTGTATGTTTCTTTGTACACTGAAAAAAAAAAACCTCTACTATTTACGTGCAAATTTACTATTGGTAAGTCTCCAGTGCACCCTCTAACCTAGTGGACTCCACAGGCAAATACAACCTTTCCAGGTCCGAAGTCAAAAGAGGGTGGGGTGGTTGCAGAGCATTGGATTCAAAGCTTGAGTTGGATACTATGGATGACTTTCATGGTTCACAGGCTCCAGGGATGCTTTGGAGACTAAAACTGGCCCTACATTTTTTTTATTTGTTCAACCAGCCAGTTCCCCCTTCCACACATTTGAGGGGGATGGGGGAATCCATCTTGATGTGGTATTGTATTCTTACAGTGGGAAGCCTTTCCTACCATCAGGATACAATGATCAGTATTGATGGCTATAGCTGGCTGCATGGATTGTTTGGAAAATACCTGACAGGCTGGTTGTACATAAGTCGATTGATAGATGGACTTGTGTACAACCAGCTAGCCCAGGGGTAGGCAACCTGTGGCTCACTGAATGAGGAAAGAAAAAACAGAGGGCGCACAGGCCTAGTACATTACCAAAAAAATGTTTAATAAAAAATAAAGTAGGTGTTTGTACTCACAAACGACAATATAGTCAAGGCACATCATAAAGTACAGCTGGGTCAACACCGCGCTGAGTAACAGTCTGCAATAGGGAGTATAGACATCCAAAAGGCTGACGCGTTTCGAGGACTCGCCTCTTCCTCAGAGCCCTGTGGCAACCTGTGGCTCACTAGCTGTTGTGGAACTACATTTCCCATGAGGCATTGCAAAGATTACAAAACTGACAGTTACAGCTATGACTTGCAGAGGCATGATGGAACGTGTAGTCCTGCAGCTCTCAGGTTGCCTACCCCTGAGCTAGCCCATACAGTACATGGTGAAATATTCAGCTGGTCTCTGCTGATCTGGCTGAATTTTGAACAATGTGTGGCCAGGTTAAGGGGATGTTTTACTAAAGGCAAATAGGAAATGCACTTTGCAACAGAATTGTCCCAAGAGCTAATGTGGTGACATTTCACTTTGCAAAGAATACTCAATCATATGTGGGCAGCACAGTGGCTAAATGGTTAGCAGTCCCGCCTGGCAGTACTAGGGTCATTGGTTCAAATCCCAGCCATGGCGCCACCTGCCTGGAGTTTGCATGTTCTCCCTGTGCCTGTGTGGGTTTCCTCTGGTACTCCAGTTTCCTCCCACACTCCAAAAGACATGCTGGTAGGTTAATTGGATCCTGTCTAAATTTTCCCTAGTATGTGTATGTATGAATGTGAGTTAGGGACCTTAGATTGTATGCTCCTTGAGGGTTAGGGACTGATGTGAATGTACAATATATATGTGTGTAAAGCGATGCGTAAAGTGACAGCGCTATATAAGTACCTGAAATAAATAAATATGTAAAAAAAAAAAAACATTAACTAATGACAGCACAAACCTTCTAATTCACTTCTTGGTTATCTCTCGCCTGGACTACTGCAACTGGACTCCCTCCACACACTGGAGCATCTTTCAATGGGCCATCCCCCCTTCAGTCCATCATAAATGCTGCTGCCAGTTGCATCCACCTTACTAATCATTCAATGTCTGCTACCCCTCTCTGCCATTCCCTCCACTGGCTTCCGCTCACCCCAACAAATTAAATTGAAAATACTAACAACAGCTTACAAAGCAATCCACAACTCTGCCCCAACTACATCGCTAACCTAGTCCCAAAATACCAACCAACCTGCAAATCGTTTTCTTCGTTCCTCCCAAGATTTCCCTGCTCTCTAGCTCCCTGGTCACCTCCTCCCATACAAAAAGTATATAAAGGCCCTATTTAGATGCCTGCTTTTAGATCCTTTTGTCAATGTATTAGACTGGTAAAAATTAAGAAATCAATGAAAACCAAAACCGGAGGAACAAATAATGCAACAACTTGCAGAATGGCTCCTGGCAGCATTGTCTGACAAGATTATCCCTTTGAGGACCGTAAGATTTTGGAACGCCAAAAGAATCAATTTTTTTGTTTTTAAAGTTCGTACACTTCAGTTACTGTAACTAAGCCATTTCATGAAATAATTGGCAAAAAGCTAGATCCATTTGTTGTTTGTTGATAAGAACTAATATTTTGACTCAAACCAAAAAAAAAAAAAAAAGTTCTTAATCAGATGATACACGCAATTAAAAACATGGGACAAATACGTCCCTTGGTCCTCAAAGGGGTAAGGTGTCATAAAACAGCCTGGGCCCCTAACTTAAAAAATTCTACCAGGGATAATAAGATATCAAGTGTGGGACTTAGTGGAACTGGCAGTAAAGCTAAAGGTGCCGAGGAAAATGCAGAAGCAAACTTGAGAACTGTCTTTGGTCCCTTTCTCCCAGCTTTATTTAAAAATCCAGAAAAAAGCACTAAGATTATGATTCAACCCAACTTTGTGAAATTCGGCCTCAATTAATGCAATTGAAAAATTGGTATAAATTATACTGGTAGGTATTCTTTAAAAGTTTGGTCATAAGCACATTGATGGACATCTATTATGAAAAGAACACTTACCAAAAATTTAAATGTTCATTGTTTTCCGTCCTGTTCTTCAGCAAGTGTTTTACCTGCTTCCTGGCAAGAAAAGATATTGATTACAAAATACATTAGAACAACATAACACACCTTAATGAAATCAGTTATAAAATAAGACTTACGAAACTAAGGGAAAGTACAGAATTAACAGCGTTAGATCATAACTTTAAATTCTGTTGATTACTGAGGTTTAGGGACAAAAGCCTGTCAAACAGCTAGTTATGAAATTTTACAGATTATTTTTTTTTAAAATAGAGCACCGAGGCTTTTTAAGCGATTAATGAAAAATTAATGTTTAACATGAGAATTTAGGGGCCTTAAATTAAAAAGAAAAAAAAAAAAGAAAAAGAAAAGAAAAAGAAAAAAAAAAAAGTAACTAATTTGAATTCCACCTGTTTTTATCGGTTATATATTAAAGAGAAATTAATGAATATTAAAATTTTATTTGATTTATTTACCTTTGCAAATGAAGATCGTTTTAAGGGTTACGCATCCTCTGCCACGGATGAAAGCGACCTCAATTAGTCAAGTCAGAGAGTCTTTTAAGCTTTGTGCTATTTGTTCCCATCATGGTTCGAAGTTCTCATTTAGGAACCAAAATTCTTTTAAATTCCAAAGTTGCACTAGTGAAAAAATGCTCAACAAAATCAAAACTAGTCACATTTTTTCCAGAAAACTCAGACTCTAGTTTAAAACCATTTTAAATACATTATTTTTTTTTCTGCATAGTTTTAATGTGGAATTTAAGCAAATCAATACCATTTGAGTCCTTTAGACAAGCATTTAAATCCTACCATCATATAGTCAAAGTATATTTTTAGTTTTTATACCAAATTTTAAGACAAACCATGGAGTGTTTGTCAACCATTTATATGTATCAGCGTTAGATTTTTTTTTTTTTTTTTTCTGTTTACCGCTATTTATAACTTTTTTAAAGACAAATCATAAAATTACTATTTCACACACACTTTTTCTTTCAAAAGTTTATTAGTATTAAGCAACAGTAAATTTTGCTCAACACTACAGTACATTTCAAGACTTATTACAAAAAGATACGACATTATTTGCAATTGTGATTTTTCGTTTGTTTTTGTCATTTATGCAGATTTACAAGAAAAAAAAGTAACAAACTGTTAAAATAAAGCGGCATTAATGTTTCTCAGGAAACCCTTTAAAATAAAAAAAAGGTTACGCTTATATTAAAGAATGGATTAACATGTTTAGTCAATCTAACTGGTTTAACACTAGTTAATAGTTAAGTCATCCTTTTGACCACCTATTTTCAAATACAGACTAGATAACAAGGTTGGTTTACAATGTTTTTGTTCATTTGTTTTTTTTTTTTTTTCAATGATAAAAAGAAAAAAATTGGTTTAGTTTCAGTCCATCCATTCAGGTTTAGAACGGTTTTAATAAAAAGGGAATGAGCTTTCGTAGAAAAAATTACTTTGAACAGTAAACAGGGCTGGAGAAGGTTTAATTCACGTCAGACTGTACAATCAGTATCTTGCATATGGTTGATCTCTGTAGGCTCCTTTTGTGGCTCTTGAAGAAGCGACTTTATGTCTGTTGTTTGCCCAATCTTCTTGCCCTGGTGAACACAATTAATTGTTTTAACCAATTTCTGGTTGGAGTTAAACATATTCACTTTTAAACAATTCTGTTTTAATATAAAAATACAGAAAACTTCCTAAATGGGAAAAATAAAAAGCCTTCTTTGGCCCTCTAAGCATTTTGGTGGCAATGGAGGGAAGCGAAGCAGGACAGAAAGGAGATTGAGTAGAGTAGGTATAACAAGCACTTACATTTTTGCCCTCCTCTAGATCAACTGCGGGTGAAGGATTCTAATTTTTTTTTTTTTTAATGGTTGAACTGGATGGACTTTTGTCTTTTTTCATCCAGACTAACTATGTAACTATGAATCAACATTAACTATTTTTATTTTTTATACTGCTAGCATTAGTAAATATATAGGAAGGTACAGTATATTATATCTGCTTATTTTAAACTTTTTTTTTTTTTAATTTCTTCAGTTGCTTCCTGGTTTCTGGCCTAAGCCAAAATTAAATCATACATCCCAGGAGTCTTAATGGGATTTATTTTCTTTTATCTGGAGGAGGGGAGGAGGGACCTTCTCATCTAAGTACACCCTCTTGCCTTCAAGCCTGAGCTAAGGGCAAATGGATTACAGGAGTAAATGTTACATGAATCATCTGCCTGTACTCAAGATGGTCGTGGCGAGAAATGCTAGGGCAGTGCTTTTCAAAGTGTTTTCTAAATAAAGAAATGTATGGAGACAGATAGGTGAGTTGGCTTTGAATCAGGGGCAGACTGACCATTTGGAAACTCAGGCACTGCCCGAGGGCCCGGGGTCAGTAGGGGGCCCCATGAGATGCCCCTGGTACCTTTTTCATAGGCTTTTTTGAGTTTGGGTAAGGGCACAGGGGCTCCATGATCCCCTATTGCCCGAGGGCCCCATGAATTGTCAGTCCGCCCCTGCTTTGAATATTAAAAATATTCGGTTTGTGGTGCTCAAATACAGTTAAGTTTTGCTTCAAGATAGGGGCCAAATTTATCCTAATAAGAGATGTAGTTACACAATAGAAAAAAGACTAGAGTATTTTTATCAATAAATGAATATACTTTACTCAAGTTGTATATTTAGTAACTGATTTAATGTATGATAGAATTGGCACTTAAATCACAATCGTTCATGCAGTTCAAAAAAACACTTTCTAAGATATTCTAAAAAAAATGGCTTTAAACCGGCTTCCAATACACCTTTGTATATTTCATATGAAATCTATAAACTGCCTATGGCTTATACCTTCAAAAGCTATTTCCAATGCACCACAAAACTCCTAAATCCTTGGGAGCGCTCATATGCAAATTATTGCATTTCACCATTTTGAGAACTGCTTCTTCCTTTGCATTTCTACAGGCTATTACAACTGCCAATCATATCAAAGGGTTGATAGGAAGGTGGAGGGCAAAGAGGGCCAGCCCCTGACACTTAAACTACTAGTAGTAATGTGTTGACATTTTCATAACAGTGTGCCACGGAATTTGATGGCATAGATGTTCTTGAGATGCCTTCAGAGACAACAGCAAACACCACCTCTGCCTGTATTTGATTGCTAGGCTTATTACAAGTTTTCAGATGTGACAGGTTTACTTATTAAGCCATACAACAGTTGGAAGCCAAAGTTAATAGAAGAGATAAACAGGATTCAAGTAGACCAAAAACATCAGTTTGACATGTTTGAATTAGGGAGATGAACACAGACACAAGGCACAAGATATATTTTCACAAACAAACTATTATTAAAAACAGGAAACTGGAAATCCTCATCTCACTTATTTGTGTGTAATTGTAAGCTTGTTAGTTCAGGATGTTCTTCAATCTAGGTAATCTTTAACATCAGGCAACAAAAGGGTTCATAAAATCTGAGCATGTTAAGAGATCTCACCATGTCCACATTTTCTATTTACACCTTTAAAGCTGAAATGGACATTGATCAATAGAGTGCAATAGAGTGCATCTGAACATGTACTTTGGGCCTGAGATCTAACCTGGTCAAAAATGTGGTCCATGGAGAGATTGAGAAAGGATTAGAAACTCATCCAGACTCATCCACCTCACTAAGCGCTCCACATCTGCCTCCCCCCTCTGCCAATCCCTTCATTGGCTCCCGATTGCCCAACGCATCAAGTTCAAGCTGCTAACCCTGACCTACAAGGCCACTCACAATGCCGCCCCGAACTACATAACTGACCTGATACCCAGATACTACCCTACCCGTGCCCTCCGCTCCTCACAGGACCTCCTGCTCTCTAGCTCCCTGGTCTCCTCCTCCCACGCCCAATTGCAGGACTTCTCTAGGACCTCCCCCATCCTCTGGAACTCCCTACCCCAATCCATCAGAATGTCACCTACCCTCCTCACCTTCAGGCACACCCTGAAAACCCTCCTCTTCAGGGAAGCCTACCCCAACCTCACCTAACACCCGACCTCACCTAACAATTAACCTCCTCCACTCCACCCACTACTCCATCCCCCACAGCCATCTCCTCCTGTGCCACCTTCCCCTCCCTCCTAGATTGTAAGTTTGAAAGAGCAGGGCCCTCGAACCCCTCGTGTAGTGTATTGTTACTGTCTTGTCTCATGTTATGTCCCCCTGCTACTGTACAGCGCTGAGTATACCCTTTGGCACTATATAAATACTGTATAATAATAATAATAATAATTTGCTTTTTAGCACTGTTTGAAGGTTACACAGATGCAACCTCATGTCCTATCCCATTGAAGGCGGTCACCAGAACAAAAGGTGAGGGGAATTTTTCCACACCTGGTGACACCTTTTCTGGTTCTCTACACTTTGCCTAATTTTGAGAAATTACCAGGCTGGAACGTGAAGGAAAATTTCCCTACTGCAGGCCTTTCCCAGTCTATGAAATCTAGGTAATCTTTAACATCAGGCAACAAAAAGGTTCATAAAATCTGAGCATGTTAAGAGATCTCACCATGTCCACATTTTCTATTTACACCTTTAAAGCTGAAATGGACATTAATCAATAGAGTGCATATGAACATATACCTTGGGCCTTAGATCTAACCTGGTCAAAAATGTGGCCCATGGATAGATTGAGAAAGGATTAGAAACTCCTTTTGCTTTTTTAGCAGTTTGAAGGTTACACAGATGCAACCTCATGTTCCATCCCATTGAAGGCTGTCACCAGAACAAAAAGGTGAGGGCAGTTTTCCACACCTGGTGACACTTTTTCTGGTTCTCTAAACTTTGCCTAATTTCTAGAAATTACCAGGCTGGAAAGTGAAGGAACATTTCCAAGTACAGGCAAGGGTTCTTAGCCTTTCCCAGTCTATGAAATCTAGGTAATCTTTAATTTTAGGCAACAAAAGGGTTCATAAAATCTGAGCATGTTAAGAGATATCACCATGTCCAAATTTTCTGTTTACACCTTTAAAGCTGAAATGGACATTAATCAATAGAGTGCATATGAACATATACCTTGGGCCTGAGATCTAACCTGGTCGAAAATGTGGCCCATGGATAGATTGAGAAAGGATTAGAAACTCCTTTTGCTTTTTTAGCACTGTTTGAAGGTTACACAGATGAACCTCATGTTCCATCCCATTGAAGGTTGTCACCAGAACAAAAAGGTGAGTGCAGTTTTCCACACCTGGTGACACTTTTTCTGGTTCTCTAAACTTTGCCTGATTTTGAGAAAGTACCAGGCTGGAAAGTGAAGGAAAATTTTCCAAGTGCAGGCAAGGGTTCTTAGCCTTTCCCAGTCTATGAAAAAAAATGGTTGGGGTTTATAGTCACTATCACTGCATGGTGAATGAATTTCAGCTAAAATAAGTAGAGTAGCAGTCAGCAATATGGTGATTTTGTATTACTCAGCACAAATATTATAAGGTTTACTAAACTCATAACATGGCCACCTTGTCTCACAAGCAGATCTCTCATACATACTGACAAGAGATCGGAGATCTGCACATTGTCCTTAAGATTGTTGTACTGCTGCACCCTTTACAGTTTTTTAGTCAGTTTCCAGTGACATTACCCCCTTGTTTTGGAGCTATGAATAATACCCTCAATAATTGTAACTTTTCCAAGTTATTCGAACTGGAACTCTTCTACGTGAGGGTCATTCAGTTTGTGGCCTTTTTGCTATGTGGATTCGAGTCAGTTTATCACTGAGCATCAGGGTTATGAAGAAGAGGTTCCTCTTTATCAAGGAGTGGTAAGTGCCTCTTCATCAAGAGGTGGTATACACTCACTGAAATGTACTAAAGGGAATCAGCCTCACATGGGAGATATTCATCTGCATAGACCAGTTTTATTGGGCACAAAACGGCAGGCTGGGTGGATGCCAAATACCATGGCTCATCCACGGTACCATGAGAGCCCTCAAATGGGAGCTTTGTACATATACCAAAGCAGCCCTTAAAGTGCAAAGACAGCCACATTTTTTTTTTTAGATTTGGATAGAGTTGAGAGGGACTAGGACTCATGTCAGGTTTTACTGCACTCCGTGCCCCTATAGGGGATATTCTCTATTTGCATTGGTGACCATTATCACTGAGAGTGAAAGTTAAAGATAACCCCAAATTTTGAGTTGCCACCAGAACAGTAATACAGGGGAAATCTCTCAAATATTTCAGTGGGTACACTAATTTTGGTGTCAACTGTCTAAGAGGGGAGTTCCCTTACTTTGGAGACATGTTACTGTTGTGACTAAGGGACAGGAAGTGAAGGGAAATCTCCCCATCAGGAGCTCTCAGGAGAAAAAGTATGGGGGAATTCATAAATTTGCCTAATCTTAGCAGGTGCCATTTAAAGTAACATGAATAAATGTATTTAGAAGCAAATTATCTCCAAATTTCTTTAATACGTAGCTGTGTTAAAAACACTCTTATGAAGTAAATGCCTTAGCCACTTGATGGATAAAATATAATTACAAGCCGTTCACAGCTTACAGTCCTGTCAAACTGCACAAAAGTCATGTAAAATATGAAATTGCTAGAAATTAAAAAATAAATTATAACTGGTAAATGCTTCAATAACATATGTACAATAGTCTGTAGACTTAAGCTACTGTAGTCTATCTAATATAACATATCGGGTAAAATCATTACCTGCTTTTTAAATTATACACTAAATAATAAAAGACTCACCGTATGAGTCATATGATTCCTCACCAATTCCATGTCCGTATTCATAATAATCTCCAGAACTGTAAGAAAGGAAAAAGGCATTCAGACGAGCAACAGTCATTTTTTATAGGTTTGGTCACATCAAGAAGATGACATATTTTTGATGTATGTACAGTTTGTGTCTCTAGCCAGAGGAACAATATAGTTCAAATGCTTTAGACCAAATTCTTATATCCATCTGGCATGTGCACTATAACAAAGTTTACTGACAACTGACTATCAAATCTATTACATCTCCAAATGAGTTCAGGTTTTTCCATTGAGGGGTACTGTTGATGCCACAGCATACAAAGATATTTTAGACAATTGCGCACCTCCAAACTTTTGGGGAAGGCCCTTTTCTGTTCCAGCATGACTGTGCCCCTGTGTACAAAGCCAGCTCCATTAGGACATGGTTTAATGAGTTTGGTATGGAGGAACTCAAAGAACCCCTACCTTAACCCTACTAAACATTTTTTGGGATAGGGTTATACTCTGAGTATTTGACCTCCCAAATGTTCTGTCAGCTGAAAAAACACAAAAAACCTACAGTCATACCCTAAAATCTTAAAGAATGCCTTCCCAGAAGAATGGAGGCCATTAGAGATGTAAGAAAGGGGGTCAACTCCATATTAATATCTACTGTTTTGGAATGGGATGCTCACCAAGCTCATATAGGTGTGATGGCCAGGTGTCTACAAGTCCGTACCACATTAATTTTTTTGCCTTCAGCCCCCATAATGCAGCCTTGAGTGTTACATTTTCCTTACTATTTGTTTCAATTAATACTTACTACTTTTAACAAATGGTGTTAAAAGTATTAAATTTTTTTTGCTTTAGAAAGCAGCCACAGTTGGAGTATAAAAATCTGTCCCCTGCCAACATGCTGCAAAGAAGGCCTTGTTCTCTGTAAAGAAGCAGTGGTCCCTCTACAGAGGCCGGACCAGGGGCGGACTGACCATTCGAGCACTCTGACACTGCCTGAGGGCCCGGGGTCAGTAGGGGGCACTACGTACGTTGCATACACCTGAACCCTACAGTATATACATTGCATACACCTGACCCCTACACTCTGTATTACCCATTCCTGACCTCTGCAAATAATACACTTCCTGTCCTTGGGTGGCTATGTTCACTCTTCCACTGTATCTATGGAAGAAGCCTTGGTTGTCACTCACACTTCTATTTTGACTACGACACATAGGTCTTATTTTATTTATCTGTATTATGTGAGAGGGAGGAATGAGTAGTCTACAAAAGACAGCTTGGAAGCAGGGCGGACTGACCATTCGAGCACTCTGGCACTGCCTGAGGGCCCGGGGTCAGTAGGGGGCACTACGTACGTTGCATACACCTGAACCCTACAGTATATACATTGCATACACCTGACCCCTACACTCTGTATTACCCATTCCTGACCTCTGCAAATAACACACTTCCTGTCCTTGGGTGGCTATGTTCACTCATCCACTGTATCTATGGAAGAAGCCATGGTTGTCACTCACACTTCTATTTTGACTACGACACATAGGTCTTATTTTATTTATCTATATTATGTGAGAGGGAGGAATGAGTAGTCTACAAAAGACAGCTTGGAAGCAGGGCGGACTGACCATTCGGGCACTACCCGAGGGCCCGGGGTCAGTAGGGGGCCCCATAAAATGCCCCTGGTACCTATTATAGGCTTTTTTGGGTGTGCTTTGAGTGTGGGCAAGGACACAGGGGCCCCATGATCCCCTATTGCCTGGGGGCCCCATGAGTTGTCAGTCTGCTCCTGGGCTGGACACACTCCCTGATAAATCAGAGCTAAAGCTCTCCAGTCAGCAGGGAGCATTAGATTGACCAAATGTAGTGCAGTAGCTCTGACTCACCAGGGGAATGTTGGACCTCTGTAGAGAAACCACTGCTTTCACACAGACAGAAAGGGTTCTTCTATGGAGTCTGAAAACGTTGACACCTTTTGTTTTGATGCATTGGTAATATATTTAGCCAATTTAGATGGTTCAATTGGGATTTAATAGTAACTACAGAAATGTAATTAATTTCAACTCTGTAAAACTTGAAACTTCCTCCTTGCAGGGGTTGTGTTTGCATTGCAAGACTTAACTGCTTGTTTAGGTCCAGGGGCACAGAAAAGAAGATTTACTTACTATATCCTTTGCTACTCTATGTTTCTAAACTAATCCCTGCAGCAGTCCCCCCCTCCAAAGTTCCAGCGGTCTAAGGTCTTGATGTCATCAAGACCCATGTATGTCCAAGCATTGCACTAGATGTTATGATGCTGAGGGACATTCCACCACCAGAAAGGAGCAGAGGATCAAGTAAGCAGGTTTCCTTTCTGCTAGACCTGAAATGAGCCATTAACCCTTGCAGTGTGGGTGCAGCCCCACTGCAAAGAGGAATTTTCTGATATTCTGGAGTTGGTCTTTAATAATTAATCAATAGAATATAAAAAAAAATACTTTTGATGAATTTTAGAATAAGTAGTTTGACAACAGTTATATTACAAGACAATAACGGAGCTTTATTAGAAAAGAGAAATAATCTGACATCATGACTGTCTACACTCTTTAGAAATAGCAAAACGCAAACATCATTATCACAGAGATGATCGGAGTAACTGCTGGCCCATTTTGTTGCGTACAACCTCGTAGCATATAACCTACATCTGCTTACAGGACTTCAGCCCTGACAGGTTAACATGGCAGCATCTGTCAAGTCCTAGAATGGCCCATTATAAGTGTCTCTGTAGCCATTTCACTGCCATTAAGCAGATGGCAATGCTAAATCTAAATGATGTACTGCAGCTCTCCAATGGGCCTCACATTTTTATAGTCATTTTTCAAGCCATTGGGCATAAATCTTTCAGAGAACATAAACCGATTAATAGACAAACATTTCTGTTGTGTTACATTGGTCCATACGGTCTTCACAAATGGGATGTGTATCAGAAGATGGCCGTATGTTGAACTTTGTGGGTAATGTCTTGAACAGAGTGATTTACAGCATCCTAAAATCAGTCTAATGCATAACACTGAATTGTTTACCAAAATTTGAAAGCTACTGGCCTTTAAAGAATATACAGTATGCCAACAACAATGTTGAAAAGCTGTCTCTATATGCCCAATGTGGGGATCATTTGAAGACTTCTGTCACGAACACTGATGGCAACCTCTAGTGGCCCACTGGCCGGAGTCCCCCAGGGCGCGGAGTCTAAGCCCAGGTCTGCTGGTTCACCAGAGCCCCTGATGGTGGGGATGGACTTGAAGCAGACCAGGACCAGGTCGCGACCCCTGAGTGACACCAACCGTGGTAAAGGCAACCGCCAATGGTGTGTAGCGGGTAGGAGCCAGATGTGAAGAGGTGTGACGTGGTCAGGCAAGCCGGGTAGGTAACAGCGAGGCAGACGGTACAGATCGGTAGACAAAGAGTAATCGGGTCACAAGCCGGGTTCGGTAACAGCAGGTCAGACAAAAGGAGCAGGCAGAGGATGGTCAGGGCGAGCCAAAGGTCAGGGCAGGAGAAGACAGCGGTATCAGGTCCAGGCAGGGTCAGCAACAAGGCAATCAGCATACAGGAAGAGCAGGAACACAGGAACAGGGAGAAGACCATCAGGCAACTTGTGTCTGTGCAGACTGGTTTAAGTAGCCCGCCCAGTGCTGACAGGCGCGCCTGGGTCCTAGTGCCTTCCCAGCGCCGTCATAGGTGACAGGCGCGCCTGGGTCCTAGTGCCCGCCTGCCTGCATGTCTTGTCGAACACCTACGCATGTGCAGACTCATGCATCGCGGTGGTCCCTGACAACTATGAAAGGTACCTGAATTACCTGTATTAGTCTCCAAATCAATCCTTATGTGTCTCTGGATCCCTCGATGGATCTGAAGCACAGGCTGAACATGGAGACTTGACTTCTTTCAAAGATGAAGCTTAGCTCCAAGAAAGAAGTTAAATATAGAGGATGTATTACTTGTATAAGGCTTTCTAGCTAACAAAGTATGAGGCTGTACCAAAAGTAATGCAAAAGTGGGCATAATTGTTTATTAACATACATAGATTGTTCAAATTTCACATATTGGAAGAGTAACTCTAGTAACTATTCTTTGTAGTTTGATTGCAGGTAAATAATGTATTTAAGCAGAAGCAATTTTTTTTAATCATTACGTTCTTGACAAAGGAGGGGTGCGTGCTGTCCGACAACCACAGAAGCAATGTCATTGGTGACTCTTGTCAATGGTGTCATCACTGAAAATATTCTGTAGCTGTCTGTGGATGTGAGATAGCCTGCACTCCTCCTTCACCAAGAACCCAGTGCTTCTGCTTGGAATCCATTATCTACCTGCAATTAAAAAGTAGAAAAAGAGTTACTATAGAGGAAGAGTTACTCTACCAACATGTGAATTATTCCCACTTTTGCATTAGTTTTTATACATTTCTTGTGATTGTATTTCTGTCCCTCTAGTCCATATACACAGCCCCAGCACACAGCACAACCCTATCAATCAGATTAGAGGACCTGCTCTTTCTATCCTGAAGTTTTAGGTTTACTTACAGGTCCCCCCCCCCCCCCCCACCCTGTGACTGGACAGTGAATAAAGAAGAAAAACACTAATTAGTTTATCTCTCTGTCACTCTCTTTCTCCTCCTAACAACATGCTTCTTCCAAAGAGGTACATTGAACCAGCTTCCTGTGCTATTTGTACCTCCTGCTCTTTGAGTTCTGCTGTCCAGGAGCTACAAGAGTATGATACCAAGTACTATTAAAATTGAATTTAAAAATGTAATAATGATTAGAAAGCTGCATTGATTCATGTCTTTCTTATTTGCCCAGAGTTCGGCTTTGAAGTGCATGTACTGCCAATTTTTGTTTTCTTTTTCAAATTTCGGAGAAAAGACTGAAGGATGAAAACCTCCATCCTTTTGTTTTATGCTATATGTGTATTGTTGGGAGATTTCCCTCACTTTGTATGCTACAGATACCAGAAGAAGTTAGAAGACATCTCTCAAAGTGAGGGGAATTCCTCTCATAGTTGTCACACAACAGGT